CCCCCCTCTCTCTATTAAAAAATTTCCAAACAACCCTTATCCCAAATTACTAGGTGTTAGATTTTAAGTGTTTCATATTATATGGAAACAGAAAATATTTGCAATAACAAAGGCACTCTGCTTTACATCTAGAGGTGTCTGGCATATCATAAAGCAGAGAACACCAGTAGCTTATTTACTTGCTGCAGAAAATTTTCTCTACACCAAACTCACCTTTTTGTTCATACTCTCTAGATCGAGTGAATCACAGTACTCTTTCAGCCCTTGAAACGGTCGATCTAGTCGCAAATCCTCATGTGAGTTGTCAGGGTGGGATTCTATAACTGAAATCAAGAAAAAACACAAATTGATGGCGTTATTCTCTAACCGTGTAACTGGAAGGAAAAGACTAAAGCGTTTTTTTTTCCTTCTATAACAATTGTCGAGGTTCAATTGCCCATCCTAAATAAAAATCAGGAGACAGAATCACTATAAATTGTATAAAAGTTGCTGTATAAATGACAACAAACCAATATTTTCAGCTGTTTCACTTTTATTTCCCTGCTTTGGATTTTCAAGACTTATGCACGAACTTCGTAACTAGATAATTATTAGTCTCCTTTAGAAAAAATGAAGTCATTCTCCAAGTGAATTAAACAAGAGGGGCAGATTAAACAAAATATAAATTTTGTGTTAAGGCTGAAAAAACAAAAAAATAGATGGACTTGGTAAACAACATTGACATCACAAAGAACACTAAGGAGTACTGTCTCAAGCAACTGTCTAAGCTGGTGGTTAGAGGGGGCCGCCGGTTGATCCTATTTCTTTGCTTTCCCTTTATTACCGATATTACATTTTTTCCCCCTGCCCTAAAATGCTGTTATCATATATCTATGTGCACCTCCTTACTCAAACAAATGGCTCACACTTCGTGTCTGTATAAAGATTGCAAACTACATTGCAGCCATGTCTATACAAAGATTATAGCTGACATTGTAAACAGGGCTGTACACAGATTATAAACTACACTGAAGCTGTGTCTATACAAAGATTACAGCAGACATTGTATTGGTAAGAGACTAAGGCCGGTCCCAGAGTGGCTCTGTAGGTCTGACCAGTAGCTTGCCTAGCGCACGCCGTCTGCATGTCAGCACAGCCGCATTGTACACTGGCGCCTGTGTCTCAGCGAGCGCAACGCATACTTGCTCCGTGTCAGCACAGGCAGCCGCACTGTGTGTTGACGTGTGTAGGTAGGTGTGCAACTGACGGGTCTGCCTAGTAGTTATATTTAGGTACTGTGTAATCCAAGACCAATTAGGCCTAGACCTAGGGCCTATACCAAGACGCGTCAACTTTTCTTTACGTCATGTGCCAAGTGCAGGCCCTTCCCACTTTTGCAGCTGGGCGTAACCCACTGGACTGGCAATAGTTTACATTGGTTACAATGCAAGGCTATTGATCATCTCAGGTGGTAGATCTATGTCTAGCCTAGGCCTACTAGAACTAGAATTAATTTATTTTAGCCGAGAGAGAGAGAGAGAGAGAGAGAGAAAGAGAGAGAGAGAGAGAAAGAGAGAGAGGGAGAGAGGGAGAGAGGGAGAGAAAGAGAGAGATTAATGAATGGACGTGTATCTAGATCTAGAATCTAGATTTTCTCTTGATCTAGAATATAGATTTTGTTGTGCACCCAGCAAAGAGTGTGCAGTTCGGAGAGTGTGCAGTTCGGAAAGTAGATCAAGATCTAGCTCTAGTGGTTGGCGAATTACCGAAGTGCGACTCTTGACGAGGCTACTTGCCTGTGAATTGGCGGAGACACACAATCATGCAACTTGATTCATCAACAGTAGATCTAGATCTACTTAAGCTTCTGTGCTTGTTTCAATGGCTTCTTTTTCAGTGCACCTGTACAATTGCCGACATGACGGCCATTGTCATGTGGGAGTGAATCTAAATCTGTACATCTAGATCAAGATCTAGATTCGAGATCTATATATCTCTAGTTCTAGAATCTAGATAGCCAAGATAATCTATCTCTAGATTTAGATCAAATCTAGATCTAAATTAGATATATAATTTTATTTTAGTTTAGATCTAGAATCTAGATTTAGATCCAAATAAGAAACAGGTGAAATTACGAAAGGGGTACTTAGGCATAGATCTAGCGTGATTTAGATCTAGATCTATGGACATTGCACACCAGATATTTAGAATTGATCAAGTCAAGATAGATTCAGGGGTGAACACTTTAAATCTAGATCTAGATCAGATGTAAATTATAATGTAATCTAGAATCTTGGCCTTTCTAGGGACATCCCTCTGCATCTCAATTTAGATCTAGCCCAGAATCTAGAGAAGAAAACAGGCCTAGATCTAGGCCTAGGTCATAGCATATGACAAACAGTCGAAACTAGGTCAACCTCTCGATTCGAAGTTAAATGTAATGTATGGTAAAGTGCATTTTTTGGCGATTTTGGGGTCAAGTGTTGATGCTAGCATCAATATTTAATAGTAAAGCACCTAATAATATACGAAGGGACAAGTTGCAGGGTTGTACATGATGGCCAGCTCACTGACAGCTTTGACATCAAGACTGGTGTGAGACAGGGATGTTTACTATCACCGTTCCTCTTCATATTGGCAGTCGATTGGCTGAGGAAGGAAACCGCCAGAGGACACAGAAATGGTATACAGTGGACACCATGGACCATGGGTGAAAGCACTGACAGGTTCAAAAACATGAAATCCCAATGAGTAAAATGCCTACGCCTGAAAATTACAGGCATTGAGAAACGTCAGATAAACACACATTCCATCAAGATACATGTAGTACAGGTACTTTCATCAATGCATTCCTTTGAAAACAATTTATCCAACCGGGTTCTGGGTCCGCAAAACAGCAACGTGCTATTCCTGGATGTTAATTTTTTTTCACAGATGTATTTTATCATAATCCCCACTGAGATACATTTTTTTTAAAGGGCCATGTCACTGTCACAGTCCACATTTTTAAAAACTACAACTGTGGACTCTTGCTAAATAAGAGTTCAGCAATGGTGCATGGCACTTGTGCACACATTGTTTGGGGCTGTAGATTGAGCTGTTGCAGTTGATAGTGAAATCGGCTGGACATAGAAATCTTTTCGTTGAGTACGAATTTTGCGAAGGACAAATTCTAGGCTGCACAAAGGAAAATAACCAAGTTGGACAATCAGGTAAAAATTTACATGAATTATGCCCCCTGATGCAAAACCTGTGCATGTGATGGATTGAAGGCGATTTAATTTTTAAATTTTAATGCTGTAGTCCTCAGTCTTAACTGAAATAATTTGGCTTGACATAGAAATAGCTATAGCCTGCCCCTTTTGAAACCAACGAAACACTGCTTGTTCCACTGCCTTCTACTTAATCAGTTTATGCCTTTTCGTCCCTGTTTCAGCACTATAATTCTCAATACAATGTATTTTCCAGTGGTTTTTTTTTTTTTGGTTAGGAAACTCAAACGGGTTGCAGATTGGGTTTTTTATATATATATATTGATTTTTCATCCACCTCTGCTAGGATCAGCCGTTTGTCCTTAACCGAGAAGTCTTTGTACGTTTCTTTTGCTCCGCTATGGTTCACTCTCTTCTACAACAACTTCACCTAGACCTAGCAGTACCGAACATCGGAAAGCTGCTGCATAGTGCGTAGTCTCTATTGAAGAGAAAACGCTGATACACATGGCGGCCTTCACAAGCAGACTCTCCGCTCGCATGTCTAAACCAAATCTGCTACTCTATGAAATCTAAAAATCTGGATATCAGGGGAAAAAAATCGTGATGAACGACAAATCACCAAGGTGACTAGCCAGCTGAAATTTTTTTTTGCCAGGGGTGTCCATAAATATATTATATTCCATGTAGAGGCCCTCTGCGCGCGCACTGTGTGTCTGTGTATTTTATTACTATTATTTTTAAATTCTGAAGTATCACGTCAAGGACTCCTTTTCCAAGTGTCTACCCCCCCTTTCACCTGTAAGCCTCGAAAGACGCTTCAACCAGTGTGCATGAATTTTAGTTGACCCCGTCAACGGACGGTCCCTGACACGCGCGGAACTCGTAAGCCGAAGTCATGTCACGTGATGAGAACGCACGTTTGAAAGTTTCACTCACGGGTCTTGATGACGGGCCCGACTTAACAGAACTTGGAGAAGGAGAATGCTTGTTTTGAAAGTAACAGCAGAACTATGAATAATATTGATCATTTGTGTGCTGCAATAGAAACAGTTATCAGGCCATCATCGGAGAATTCTGAAATTATGAGTCCGGTAGCCTAACAACTATAGACTACACCGCAACTAAAGTGAGCAGGCCAGATCTAGATCTAGGTCAACCGCTGAACACTCCAGCGTCATATGAAACAATGAAACAAACGCGTCCTTGGCCTACACCCAGGCTACACTACTCATACTGCTCCCGGCTTGGGCCTATTTAGAGATCATAGGCCTTCACTCCTACTGTGCCCTTCTCTCTCTCTCCACGGCTTCATCAGTAAAATCAAATTTGCGGCCGTCTATAGGCTTGCATGTAATTAGATCTACCCTCGATGTCGTCTATTTTTTCCCTCGCTTTTTTGGTACAAATTGTCAAGTCTTTGTGTGTGTTTTAATACACAGAATAAGCTCCACATCAAAATTCGGGACCTCAAATTATGTTTGCTACATCTATTATTCTATGTGCATCTTATCTACATTTACTGAAAGACTGAATTTCTTTTTTAAAAAATTAAAAAATCACAATAATATTTACAGTTTGAGTGCGACGTGCTTGTGCTTGTCCAAAACGACCCACAGACATGAACCAAAGATGTCAAAACCAACCACAATTTGCAAAATATGGCTAAACCTGGGCAAATCACAGACCGGTCTTGCCAGATGAATAACATCAAGGTCATTGGTCTAGTGTTTACTGCAACATAGATCAGGGTGTCCAGCAATATTTCCTGAAAAAATTTACTACCTGGAAAAAAAATTTACTACCCAGCAAATCAAGCCCCACACCAGCTCGAAAAAGGGAGTTAATTTGCGCCATCAATAACATATTTTACGACCGTTTACCAAATTTTTACTACCTTCAAGGCAAATTTACTACCATTTACGACCTTTACGACAGGGGCGCCGAATTTACGGCTTTTTTACGACTTTACAACTTTGCTGGACACCCTGATAGATCAAATTGGGTTATTTCTGGGCGTGCAACACTCATTTTGGCCAGTAGGGCAAGCTGAGACAGACCAGCAACGTAACCAAATGCAAAGAGTTAGAGACTGGATGAGGAGAATGACTACTTCCGAAATGTATATGAAGTATGAAGTCGACAATTTGTCCCAAACCGGAAAAGTTGGAAAGCTTATTTTCAAAAGCTAGAATTCCGGCATACGCCGGTAAACTTTTACCCATGCCTTCAACTTTCAGTTGAAAATAAACACGAATCGAAGCTGCGTGCGACACGCCTGCCATTTTTACAACACTGTTGAATAGCAAGTCTGACGTGTCGGGCAGCTCAGCGGACAACAGACAGACCATACAGCGACGCTGCTCAGACTCGCGATAATGTATATATTCATTCGCACGGTGCGAGCTAGGTGAGCTACAGGTCAGACCTCCTGAGCCACTCTGGGACCGGCCTAAGACAGCAGCAGTCTGACTTACTGGTGTGCTCCCTGACTACCACACGCAGGTACCCAATCACCCCGTAACAGCGACACACGAGGAGAGGGACGTTCTTCTCCCACAGGACTTTGCTCAGGTTTAATAAAGTTCTGGGGGGAGAAAAGATCAGGCACTAATATTATAAACAATAATCCATAATGATGTCAGATTTTTGGAAAAAGTACCCTCCTGTGCATTTTGAACTGCTGAAACTACAGCACATCATCCCAGGTCACAGAGCAGTTGCATTTATGTCTTACAGAAATATAAAACGATGCTTTGATATTGATGAATTAACGGGGGATCAAACTTTCTTGAGATTGGTTGTCAAGTTCATTCATTTTTGTCCACTTAGAAAAGAGCTATCTTTCTTCCCGAGCGGCCCTAGAATTACGCCTCAGCAGCAGCCCTCCCCCCTCCTCCTGAGCACACAGAGAGATTGCCATTGTTAAAATGACCAATGTAAAATAAAGCAAAACTCCAGCCAAATTATCTCAATCAAAGCATAAAATTAGAACTTAGGTCTAAGTCAAAGAAAAACTTACCTTTCTGGAAGATGAGTAGCTATAACAGTTGTGAAAGACGTGAAAAATGCTGGATTTTTCTCTAGCAAGTCATCAACATTCTGTTGAACATGAAAACAAAGTGTATAGTTTGAATATTAAGTAAAGATAAGCACATTTACATAATTAACAGTCTTTCAGTGTTGAGAAAAAGAAAGATGGACATATACAGAATCAACGAACAGAAAGACATGGTAAATGTGAGGCAGCGTGGTGGAATCAGGCTCTCGTCAAAGTAATCAAAGTGAAGAAACTTGGATTTTTCAGCAGGTTTGTGTATTTTCATAAAATTTAAGTTTTTTTGCTCAACACTTTTCATGCCCATAAAAAAACTCATTTCTGTGTGGATTTTTCTAAAAAACGTTGATTAAAGGCACAAAAAATGTAAATTTTCAGTTACCACAGACTCTTAAGCTAAGGAAATAACTAATCTTTGGCGGCCATTTTCTCACTAATTTTATCTCTGAAAACAGGTGACTCCCACCTCCTTCTTTTGCAAATATCTCAACTTGTATTCAATAAAAATGGATATTTTTTTCATTCAAATAAAGACAAGTGAACAAGCTTTATGATGATACCAATAACCCTACATGCCCAAAAATTGACGAGAGCCTGATTCCACTGCGCTGCCTCACAAATATTGATAGCTTTCTAGATCTATCAGTATCAGTCTTTCCAAACCTACACTGTCCATTATCACCTGCAAAAATATGACCCTGGCCTTGTGACCCATAGACTACAAGTCTTGTGATTGGCTATACGCATCCGACTGTTCGACTCACAACCCTTGAAAAACAAATGTGTTTGTTTTTTTAAGGTCACAATCAAAGATACAATATTGCGCCATGATGGAGAAAAATCTGGCTGGCCCTGATTCAATTCGTCTGAATTTCATTGGCAGTGTGCACTGGGTATAATTATATCATTACCACTTCAAGGCAATTGCACACTATTACTTTTTCTTAAATATCACACAATTTTACCTCTTCTAAGAAATCTCCAGAGACATCCTCATTAAGTTCACTCAACAATTCAGTGGCCACTTGAGCACGTGACTGCAGGAGAAACAGAAAGACAACAATATTATCCAGCAAATAAAACACATTCCTTGCCATTGTAAGAAAAATATATCAGCTGGGAATTAAACACAAACAGGTATTTGGTTAAATCACAAACTCAATTAAAAAGACAATGTAAAAGCATAACAAACGTGAAAGAATAAAGTATACTTTATACTCTTAAAGAGTTACAAATTCTGAGCAAAAGCATAAACCCTAGAATGACCACAGAGAAATGAGTTGAACAATACCCATTCAGCAATGCTAGTGGATATGTTCAGATTTCAAACATAATGATCAAAGTAACACACAAATCCATCTTGATTGGCATACTGCGAGTCACCAAGAGAGAAAAACAGTTCATTATTCATTTTTCAAAACACAATGAAATTATACTTCTCAGAGATGTACAGATTGAAAAAAAAAAATCTTTTTCATAGACAATCAACTAAAATGAAAAGTGTTTATATTCATATCTATAAAAATGAGGAAGTCACAACACAAAATTTCAGCCGCCTTCTTCACATATCCAGACACCCTCCACAACTTTCACTGCCGCACACGCCTCAGCTAGTAAGATAAAGTGCATTGTGCAAAAAGAATAAAAAGATTAAAATATTGTAGGTATTAATACTAAGAATAAAATGAAGAACAATCTTAAAGATCACGCAGTTCGCCACATCATCATCATTGCCTTTCTCACCCTGCACCACGGTATAGGCCACGGACAAACACTTTCCGCCTTTCTCTATCATGAGCTAGCCTCTTGATGATATTCCATGCCTTCCCACTTTTCTGTACATCAATTTGTCTTTTCTGCTTTTTGCGCGGTCCTTCATTGTTCCTGCTGGTGCAGAAGCTCCTCCGTCTCCCAAGATCGAAAAATAAAAAGCAGTGTTTGTTCATGTTTCTGTAACTGTTTTTACAAGGTCAGGTAGTTGGCCCTACGCAAACTGGCACTTTCCGGGCGACAAGACCTATGCACCTTTAGTCGCCTCTTACGACACGCAGTACCACGGCAGGTGTATTCTTTGCTCCCCATAGTAAAACTATACCCCCCCCCCCCCCCTGCAGGGGAGGGTTCACCACATGACTGAGCCTTAAAAATATACAGTTCGTTCTACATAGTGACAGACCATTCAAGTTTTCAAATACGGTCTGCTAAGATAAATCTTAGAGTGAAGGAAAGTGTTCAAGTCATTTACACTTTCAAAATTATAGTTGAGCATGCAATAAAATAATGCAAGCTTACCTTGCCAACTGAGTCGACCGTCAAGAAAAAGCTGCAACAAAGGACAACACAACCATTTAGGTATCTCACCTACATTGTTTTGCCTTTAAATAATTCACAATTCAGATACCTATAAACAATAAAGCTTTGCGCTCAAATTATTCAGGATCTAAAAAAATTTTTTTAAAATGGTCCGACATTAAAAAAAGTGAAACTACAAGTATCAGCATAATAGTAAACCATGTAAAGACAATGGGACAAAAGCTTCCCATTCCCCTTTCTAAAATTTTTTTTCAAAAGCTAGTATCAAATACACTGAACATGCTTTGCTACAGTAGTTAAAAATATTATTTGAAAGAACTTTAAACAACGACGTTGTCTTTAATGGCAGCTACGTTCAATATGTGACTTAAATTTAGACTTACATAGCCTCGCACAGACAAAGAGACGATAGATCTTCTTCTTCAAGTGCCAGATCTGACACAGACGTTGGTGATCCTGGTTCACCAACAATTCTTCTGCTCAGAGGCTCTTAAACAAACCTAAGTCATCCTGGTCTTTTCCCATCACCCATCTGTTTCAGTTCTCTAAGAAACTTATTCTTGGTCTACCACTGCCCCTGTTGCATTCTAAAAGAGTTAACAAACCTCTACCTTTTCAATTTTCACTTTCAGTGGCCATGAAACATGTACTCAAGATTTCCTTGCCAGCCCCATACTCAAGAATAAAAAAGCATGATGATGAAAATCCTGAGAAATGAACTGAAAGTCATCATCTAACCATCGCTGTATCCACTGGGAATCAAACTGCATACTTTGGAACAAAATACAAGCATTTTAAACAGGAAATCTCCCTTGCGAAAAGAGGAATCAAATCTTACTACTAACACAAATGAAAAACTTAAGTTTTAAAAAATGTAAGAAAACATACTTGTTTCCAACATCCTCTCCAACCACTTTCTGGCTGTCTACAATTGTGAAAGAGCCAATACCTGTGAAACAGAACATACTTAATCGTAACATCTATCAGGATAAATGAAAATACTACGTATAATATGACAAAAAATGTTTTTACTCTACCAGTAAATATAGAATGAACACAAAGTATGTAACTTTCTACAGGGTCTAAAAGGAAAAAAAAGAGTAAATGATGCAAACATGCCCAGTTTCATAAATGTAACAGCTTTCATGTTTAAAAAAAAAAAGAAGAAAATTCAGTAAGCAGTAAAATAGAAAGCATTTTCCTTTAAAACAACCCCTTAAAAATAAATTCATGGCTGGGATTGTTATCATGTCTCCTTTTCTCGTTAAGTATACTACAACACACTCACTTTTGAAACCCATGCTGAATAAGAATAGCCATTACCAACAGTTTGATACATCTAAACATCTAAAATGTCATTGAAGATAAAACTGCTTACCAGGCAAAATAAGATTTTTCAGAATTTCTGTTCCAGTAGCTGTGGCATTGACTAAGCAGACTTTGGCAGTCTCCAGAGAAGACTGACCATGGTCACCCCATAACCTGAGGAGAGACGGACATCCGTGAAAAGATTGAGCTACATGATGTGACTCAGCGTGACAAAAATGAGCCAGCTCTGAGATACTCAACGACAACGAATTGGGGTAAAAATAATCTATGCCCTTTTTTCATGTGAGTGTAAATTTCAGCAAGACTTATCTGCATACTGAATAAAAGCTTCTACTCAATTACAGCGCTGAGTGGGGTAGAAAATAGTAAGCAAAAAAATTGTCACTATTCAAGTATCGAGAGCAAGGAGGAAGAAAAGGGAATTTATGTTCAACCTGCCTTAGCCTTTGATATATTACAAATAATAAAAATGTCAACAGTTACATGGTGGGCAGAAGTGTGAAAACTACTGCGAGACCAAAGTAAGATGTATAGTGTACCTTTGATTCAAATTCCCACTTTTCTATAAATAACTCTCGCCGTGAGATGGTATTATTTTACTTTCAATCCTGTTTCATGCTGAGATATTGGACAGCGCTTTTCTTGCTCATTTTTACACAAATTACACAAACACTGACTTTACACCCGTCGCAAATATTTGATGGTTTTAATTCAAACTATATTATGTTAAGACCAATAGCATAGTAATTTCCATGCTTTGGACCAGTCCAGCAGGTGTCAGGAAGACACCCCCTCCCCTGAGGTTAAATAAATCTGCGGGGTTATAGGCAGTCATGCCCCATTTTTCCCCCAATTTGATGTTTGAAAATTTCTTTAAATAAATTGATTTGCGACTATTTTAGTGGCCCTCGGTGTGATCTGCAGCCAAAATTATGGCCATTTGACCTGCAAAACCAGTGTATCTGTATGCGGGAGTGAAAGTGAAAGTCTCTTCAAAGTTATAGCCACACAAAAACTTTGGTAATTTAAATATTTTTTTGGTAAGCTTGCTTTACGGAGCTCGCAGCAGTTGCGAGCTCCGTAAAACAATATAAGGTCTTGAGCACACGGGACACGCTAAAACATTTTCAGTTTGGCAAAAATTAAGTTTGAATTGTGCCAGAGAGGCGGCCGAAGCCCACCCGTATCGATTTTAGGGCCACAAGGGATTTTTAACAAGAACAACTTGCACATGGGACATCTGAAATTTTTCACCTTTATCCAAGAAGAATACTAGGTGTTATTTTACCTTGGCCTACCCTAAGATCAGGGGTGTGGCTGAAAGACAGAAATAAGCAGTAAAGAAGTAGTAGTAGAAAGGCAGCAGAAAAAGTCAGGAGGGCAAAGGGAGCAAAAGAGGAGATGAAAGCCCCCTGCCCAAATTTAAAAAAAAGTGAAATTATAAAAGTATAAACTACAGCTACAACGAGATCTACACTATTGGCATACTAACTAGGCAACTGTGGTCAAATTCGCTGCAATCACCAGGCAAGCCACAAGCACGTGAAATGAGTGTAGGAAATCAGGGTAGTGAGTAAAAGGCGCACGAGGGATATAAAAAGAGAGGCGAAATTTTAACCGGCCTTCTGAGCCGCGACTTAGGCTGAGCAGGGATTGGCGCAACAGGTGGGTCGACGCAGTGGATGGAGCTCCAAAACCTGTAAGACCCACGCACATCGTTCCTGCTTGAAACTGTAAGTATTGCACACAACCACAGATAACGAGTAGAATCTAGATCTAGGATTAGATCTAGCCCTCGTCATCTCATTACAAGCTATTTTGGCACTCATTTAATGATAGATAGCATTTGTATAGCGCAAATCCCCGCTCAACAGCAAGGTTTTGTCATCTTCCAGGATTTCTCTCTAGACTCTTGGGTTTCCCTCTCAAGTAACTGTTGACTAGATCTCGCCATGTTTGGGGATTTTTTTGGGGGGTACTAATTTATATGTTATCTATTACAAACAATTACAATCTCAGCAATTCTCCTTCCATAAATTTACCTTCTCCTCAAAGCTGTACACACACACACATAAACACATGCATTCACACACACACTAGCACACGCACACAACCAGACGGCGATGAAACCTCATGACGTAGCCCATCACCGCGCGCTACGGGCCCGCCACAGTGGGATCTAGTCAACTGGCGAGGGAAGCCTCGGAAGACAACAAAAAATTAACGGCGGAAATACGTAATCTATATTTGGGCCAATCGCAGAGGTGTGCTAGGTGTAGGTACCAAAAACTAAATTCTCAAAGTAGCAATATGCCAAATTTATATTTTACATATGAAAGGCCTATATCTCCTGAGAATTTCGGTACAATTCTATTACCTCTCAGTCAATTTTTAAGAAAATGGTAGCTGTTTAAAATTTGATCAAATTTGAGTCACTCACTGGCTGCAACCCCATGTTTGATATAAAAAAAGAGCACCAAGTGTACCAAACATCTCCACATTATCAGAATACAATCACTATAACATAGATATGGAGCCTAATTTTTTTCAAGATTGAAAGATCATTACAAATCAGTATTTTATCACCCCAAACATTATGATCCGTCGTTATTTTGACAAAAAACGAGGGCTAACCCGGCCCGCGCTGCACCGCCCCCCGTGGCGAGCGAATCGGCTCTATACTGTAGTGTACTGAGCGCTCCCCGTGTGGGGGGTCACATGATGCTTTCCGAGTTTCGCAGAAGGATTGATGAAAAATAATTCCAAGCCGATTACTTTAAATTTCTAATAGAAAATGAACTGATCTTTCTATTGGTACCTTTTTTGAGCCTGTATTTTACATATATATATTTCGTGAAAAAATGATCTTTCAAAACGGTATTTTTAAAGGCTTTCTTTTTCGGCTGGCTCTATTTCTCCGAACGCTTGAAAAAAAAATTGAACTTGTGTGTGTGTGTGTGGGGTGTGTGTGTGTGTGTGTGTGTGTGTGTGTGTGTGTGTGTGTGTGTGTGTGTGTGTGTGTGTGGACACATGAAGGATTTTAGTGTTTGATTTAGGGGTGTGCGGCTCTGAGAAAACCCTTCACAAGGTGAAAATTTTCAAAATTGACTTTTTTGCATATTATAAAAGACACACCTGTCCCGAGCATTTTGCACTTTATTTGAGTGCAATTGGAGCATTCTGCCAAAAGTTATGGCATTTTAAAGTGAACAGGGGTTCGAATGTTAAATTCTGAGAAAACAGGTTTTAAAGTTTTGCTTACTTTGGGAACACATTTTCCATGATGACAAGGCATAGAAGCAATAATGCTGATACCACAGCATAGAGGTACCATTTGTGGACAGTTTGCTTTTTATTTTACGGAAATACCTCCCTTCTATGTGAAGTTATGACTGTTTTTATGTTACAACAGTAAATCATTGAATTAAATAAAAACGCGTCAAATTGTAACCATTTTAAGTGGAAGACAATCTAAACACAAAACAGAGCAAACAAACAAACAAAGTTAAGATGATTTTAGAACATAAAGCACATAATTTATTTGTACTTCTTGTCCACAATATTTTTCCAACAGAAATCCGTTGACATTTTTACATTTCCATGCATACACACGAAATATATTAATTATACAGACCTGCTTTCATCGAAAAAACCCAAAACAGTATGGAATAGCATGTTTACATAGAAAAACAACCAGTAACCACTTTGTCCCACACAGACAAGGTTGAAGCACACCTCCTAAACGAACTTAATTGTGTCCACGGGGGTGTAAAAACACCTACACTAAAACAAAGGAAATGACAACCGACATAAACATGAAACTTCTGATCAAGGCTGCCAAAACACATCTTCAGAACCAACATACAACAAAATTACGAAAGTTATCAATTCACCACAGCAAGTCCAATGACCAGTTATAGTCAGAAGAATATAAATAAAATCATGTTGAAATTTAAATAGAGTACGCAGTGAATCTTTAAAACTTAAACAAAAATACCCCTACTTTTTCTTCCCCTTGCTCTTAGTCGATACCCCTTTCCCCCCTTCCTGGCTTTCGGCTCTGATGGACCCTCTTCCTCATCACTATCATGTTCATGCATGCTCACTTGGGTAGGCTTTCGGCATTTTGGAAGAGGGGTCACTCTGTTTTTCATCTCTTCACTAACAAAGGTCTAATTTCATCATACAAATACCACTGCCTTGATGGATCAAGTCCAGCAGGAACAACGATTTCAGGCATTAAATTAAAATCAAGAGCTTTGGACAATAAAACAAAATCAATTGGATCAGAATCAACAAATTGTTTACATTTTACTGATGTGCTGTCATGCTGGAACTGAAAATGGTGATATTTTTTAATTCCAATCATTTTTCTAAAAAACTTTCCGAGAAATTTGGTCCAGTCATTTACCGGCACCAAAACATCCCCTGCCTCAGTTTCACATAAATGTGCGACATTGCATGTGGCAGACTCATTGACAACATTAGCAATGCCTTCCAGGCAGTCAACTTTGGTCACTTGAAACATGTGTTTGACAAGACCAAAACACCAGTCACAACTGAACTTTGTGTGTCCTGTCAGAAGAAATGACAGTTTAATACTCATGTGTCTTCCTGTGAGGACTCTCCACATAAGATACTGCATCATGCAGTTATTTTTATTTTGTCCACTGCAGTAGGATCATCAGCATGCAGATGGACATGGTTCTCTCCTAAGCCATAAATTAAAAAAAAATAATGAAGAAGAGACACAACACAGTTGGTCCCTTTACCTGCTGAAACACATTCTTCTAAAAGAAAATTTACCTGACAAGGTATTGCCTCACAGGCTACTCCAAACAAGCCACGCTTCCTTGGAGTTTTGAAAAATATTGGACCCGGCTGCAATGGGTTGCTCGAGTAGTGCACTTGCGGTGCAAAATCAAAGCTATAACGGGACATCCCATCAACAGAAAAGCTCCTCCTATCTTCTTGACCAAGAGTGGTACCAGCTGGCAAACTATTTTTAGCGGCTTCACAAACCTGCTGATAATAGGAGCGTTCTTTAGAAGCCTTTTCTAAATGATCTTGCTTTTCCAAAACTGCTTGGCCTTTTTCAGCATCAGGCAGATTGGCTGTACGCAAGAGGTGACCTGAATTCTTCTGACAAAACCAACAAAGATCAGTTGCAGGACGCATGGTTGTGACAAACGGTGTCAACTGCTTCCATAAACGATTGAAGGTCTGCCTGCTTACAATGCGTCTGTCACTGACAGTGGCAGAGGCACAGTAACCATCATACACCTTCTTCTTAGTTACATTTGTAAAAAGCAGTTTGACGTTGGTGTTCCAGTGACCAGGCTGACGTCCTGGAAGCACAATAGCATGGAACTCAGCAAAGTTGACAATGAAGTCTACCACAGCTTTTGTATCTTCAAAGGACAGAGCATGTTTTGGGGCCCTCTTTGATGATTTATGTTGCCTGGCCTCAATTCCAGCAGCCTTAAAGTGGGCAATAAGGGCATTCAACTTATCTTGGCCCATATTGTGAACATAACTAAAAAATTCCCTACAAATCACATGTCCATACAAATAATAAGTAGTCCTTGTCGCTTGTCGTTCTTTGATTTTTCTAGAATGTTTAACAGTGCTTCCCACATGCATGCCACAGCAAATCTGAGACAACACTACGATGTCATGCTCCTTCCTTGTCATACCAGCAAAAGACAAACGTAGGTCGTCAACAGCAGCTGATTCGAACTGGCTGTGGCAAGGCTGGCCATCATTGAGCTTGCAGCAGCCCTTCAGGCCCTTCAAAGCTGGCAGCTCCACACCCTTACCTTCTGGCACCACAAAGGCTGTCACGTTCTCCGTGAAGGTCACCCTAAAGCATCATCCTCGTCTGTAGATACAGAAATTAAAAGAGAGTGATTTAAAAGTGTGCAGTTGTTTAAAGAAATTTATAGTGTTGTACACTGCTGTATTTAAATGATCACTACATTAGTTCAAACAAACCGGTGATTAATTTAATGATCACCAGTTGAGAATACTTTGCTCTGTGATCCCTTTACAGGTTGCAATAAGACCTTATTGCTCCAAATACACAGCTAGAGGTATGATAGAATTTAGATGAATAGATCTACAGTTCTTCAATCTAGCTGATAATTATAAGGACTAGTATAGAATCTGGGACAACGGGTATGGTAAACCTTGCTTACCTTCTGATGATGTTACGCCAACTGGTTGAACAGGAACCAGGACTTCTTCATGAAGTTCGATATCATGAGCAGGGGTGTGTGGGTGTGGGTGTGGGTGTGTCACGGCCACAGTCGTAATTGGTTCATCATGTGTCTCCTCCTCCGAACTACTGTCTCCAGAATCAATAGGTCTTGCATCGAAATAGTCAATAATCAGTTCATTCAATTAATTTTCGTCTGTGATTTGTCTCATTCCAATCCAACCGAGATCGCTCAGCATCAATGAAATACGCCCCTCAGCAGATCGGTCCGCCATCTTGAATCACCAAAATTATGTAAACAATAGCACTCAACCACTTGGAAACAGAAAACAATCAGTCTACTTACTGTAAGCTCGGAAAAAAACCCACTTCGTAGAGCAGAACAAAGAACTTAAAGTCAATAAGGTACAGTTCACATTTGGTTTGAACGGCAGGAAATGGTACATAAGAAGTTAAAAGGCACTCATAACAAATACCATTTCAGAAGTGAAACTACAACACGCGCAACTCTCAGAACTATTGGTGATGTTCTCATATTCATGTGCACTGGGTTTTCCTGAAACGGCAATAAAATTCTCTTTCATTTGGTATATAATATGTGGGGGTTCCCTTGAAAAGAAGTGTCTATCCGATTGAGTACATATTCCCCCTCTTTGTCTAAGAATTCAGCGTAATACGGTGGCGATGTCTTCAAAAAAAATTATTTTAAAATATTTTAAATAATTTTTGAGCAAATTCCTTTTAACATATGATGTAGAAAGGTTTATCTTTCTGAATTTCATATAATTTCGTTTTCGATAAAAATAAAGTTCAGGGCCTATTTTTAGTAATATCTCAGAAATGATTCTCGCACCTTCCGACGGGTTTTCTCAGAGCCGCCCACAAATGCAAAATAGGTCACTGCCAAGGTTCAGCAGTCCTGTTTTCTCACAGTAACTTTAGAAGGCATTTTCAAATGAAGTATAGTCCAGGAACGTTGCTCCAACCACAACTGAGGTATCTGAATATAAAAATTTAAAATCTCTAGATCTTGATTCTAGCTTTCGAAATTGAATTCCATGCAAAAAATGCTTCTTCCCAGTCCTCGCAGAATGGCAGAATGAAAGATGACGCCCAAATCTCGTAAATAAAAAAAAAATCTCAAGAACGGAAACCGTTTGGAGAAATAGAGATCAAGTTTATTTTCCCGAGTGTTCAGAGAAATAGTCACTTCGTTCTTTTTAAACATGAAAAGCCAAAAATATACAACGAGAAAGCCCATCCAAAGCTCTACATTCTCCACCAATGAAAAGACGGTAGGCCCTATTTAATCATCAATCCGTCCGCGAAGCATTTGAACGCACGCATTTCAATTTCTGAACCAGCCGGCCATGCATTCCGAGCTTGAGGGGTTTCGCTTTCTACGGCGATACTCCAGCTCCAAATAATCGGACATAGGCTATAAACAACTTACACCATTGTAACGGGGAAAAGCTGAACTTTTACAAGGTGTAGGCCCCTACAGCATTTTGTGTTTTATAGCAAAGAAACAGCGATCTGAATTAGCCTGATTTCAGCGACACCGGAAAAAGCAAAAACTAAAACCTTTCATGTAAAAAAAAATCCCTCCACGTCCCCGTTCACACCTTACACACACACGGGCCACTCCATTCGCTTCAACAAATCTTGAGAATGGAAATCGTTCAGAGAAATAAAGTTCAAGTTTATTTTCCCGAACCTTCGGAGAAATAGAGCCGGCCTCCTACACTGACACTCACTTAGAAGCTGAGTCCGAATAAATAAAACCCATATATTGGGACTTGAGTCCGAATAGATAAAAATTATATTCGGACTCGAGTCCGAATAGAGCTGGCCAAAGTAAAAGGCCTAATCTAGATCTAGATTCTAGATCTAGAACCTACCAGAGTTGCCTTTCCTTTAAGAGCCCAAAGACTACTGAGGAAGTCATATCTAGATCTAAATCTAGATCTACTAGATCTATTAGAGAAGTACTACCGGACTGTGTCCCTGGCCTTAGGACTGGGTGAAATTGAGTCGGCTGTCAAAATCAATGCAGTGGCTATTTTTACGGCGAGCCGTAAAGATAGCCTCCCAGTGAGTCCCAGGCTATTTTTATGGTGGTCCTTGAAAAGCGACCCTACTCCGCCTCTCATGTACGCGACATGCCTCAATGTATTAGATCTAGGCCTATAGGAGCCGTTCAAAATATTAACTTACACCTCAGAGGGGAAAGGGTGTCTTTGGCTTCTGTAAGAAAAGTGTAAGATTGGGTGGGGAGGTTAACCAAATATGACACTCCTGTGAGATGAACGTTTTGCTCATGACTGGGAAGAAAAGGTAAAAGAAAACGAAGTGACTATTTCTCCGAACGTTCGGAGAAATAGTGCCGATCCTTATTTCTCCGAACGGTTTCCAGCTTCCGGTCTCGTGATTTTTTTGCCTATTTATTGCGAGAGTTCGGTGCCAACTGTCATTCTGCCTTTGGTCTGGGAAGGAACACCGCATGGTAAGCCCGCCTACATACAACCTTCAGTAACACCCACCACACCACACACCCACCACCATCATGCACATGTACACACAAACTTATACACACACTAACTAAACATGATCAGTGGGCAACTTTTGAACGTATGACGAGCTGAGTTGTGGGTGGAGAGACAGTGTGAGTGACGGAGCGGGTGAAAGGTAGAATTTACGAGTGTATCTACAGGCGACAACAACTACAAGACGACGACACCGGAACCCCCCCCCCCCATGGTTCGCAGGATGCAAGGGAATGAGTGAGATTTACTTTGTGTGTGCCTGGAGGGAGGGGGTGGGGTGTGAAAGTCATGAGGACGGGGATGAGCCGCGGGAGAGAACACGGGAATTGAATGAATGAGTGAGACTGAAAGAGAGGAACGACTCATGAGCCCTGGAGTGAATAGATCCTGTGTTTCTATTTTTGTATACTTTGAACTGTTACTGAATAAAGGCTGAAATAAAGCCAGAAAAACACACACACTCCTCACTCTCCACTTACACACTTACTACCACACACAGACACACTCACACACACATACACACACACACACACACACACAGGAGCAAATTTTTGGGTCTATATCTATTTCAATTTTCAAGAGCTAGTCTAGAGATTTTTAGATGAGTGTAAAAACGTGAAAAAGAAAGGTTTCACAACAGAATTAAATCAAAATTAGTCGAACAGCCCATAAACAACCACAAAAATAAACAAATAAGGGTGTGTGTCAACCTGTCCGAAGAAAATTGCCTGTTTTAACCCTAAAAGTGTGTAAATTTTAACAAAAAGTAAAGGATATTACATGATGTAAATTATGGAATCACACACATTAACGGGCCTGCCAGTGTCAGTACATGTAATCAGTTTTGGTGGAACGTATGCTCTAACTTAAACATTTAAATCTATATATGTAATTATGTATATAGAATCTAATGAAGGAAGGAACACCAAATTAATTGACGTTACACTATGCAACATTCCCCCCCCCCCCTTTCCCCAACAAAAAAATGGTAGAAAAACAACACACCAGAACAATAACAAGAAAAAAATTACACACTAACAAAATAAAACACCACAAAGAGTCAAAGAGGGAAAATAAAAGTAACTGTAACGTATTCAACAAATCAACGTGGTGACAACAAGTGAGAAAGAGAATAAGTGAAGCTAAGTGAACTTTCTTTCAAAAGTAAAGAGGTTTTGGTTTCTTTCTTTTTTTTTTTAAAATTTGACTTTTATTCCCCGACCAAGAAATGCCAAAAAATTGAGCCACGATTGATTGGTCGCGGCCGTGACAAACGCAGAAGCTAGTTCTATGTGTCGTTATCAATAACCCTCCGTAGATCTAGATCTAGACAGCACAAGAGTGAACACAACACATTAAGTTTAAGAGCAGCACCCTTCATACAGGGTCCCCACCAAATCCTGGAAAATTTTTTCAAGACCCCCAAATTTTTTTCAAGACCCCAATTCGAGGGAAAAATCAGGCCGCTGCGCGTCAAGAATGATCCCCAAAAAAGGCAATCTATCAAAGATAAAAAGTCAAAATGTCTATAAATGAATGCAAATATACATCTTGTAGTATAGTCTTCAAACAATAGATGACTATAATACTGGGTGACTGCCAACCCAGCTTCTCAATTTTCCAAGGGAGGGGCCTCATCCATTTTCCAGGAACACGTTACATAACAATGAAAGCGTGTGCTCCATTTATATCTAATATAATACATGTATATGTTTGTGAATACACACACACACATGTAGGTACATTATATCTAGTCAACAACATGTCAGTGTGGCACTGGGATCTTGAGAGACTTTGGTATTTTAGTCTGTTCTTATTTATTTATAATATTTTCCCCTCATCATATTAGCCAACATAACAAACTAGAGGCCCTATATAAAAAAATGAATCCTGTTCTGAGCCTGAGAAAAGACCTAGAACTAGAACATCGACTGTCAATAATCAGTCTAGGTGTCCTGATTCATATAATAAACGTGAAGACGAAAACCATTGCTCCAACTCAAAGTAGAGTAATAACTAGAATGACTCAAGTACACCTATTCAGTGTGAGAGGTGAAAGAACTGGGGGGGGCAAGATGCAGTGACACTGAAAATCTGCCAGTTTTGAACAGAAAGCTAATAAAATATATAAATTACAATCACCCCATTCAAACGCGAACACTTTAGTTCAATAACAAGGCATGACGGATCCTGATCCCACACAAGGCCTGCACCAACGCGCGCTTTGCAGAGAGCTCTAAAGTAGTAATCAAAATGCTAAAAATTTGCTTCCAAGTTCAGTTTTTGACCTCTAGCGTTGCCTTCAGCCCCCCCCCCCCTCCCCAATCCACGAGTGTGTCTTATAACTTCACAGCGCTCAGACCGCCGGTACTCACAGGTTCATTGACCGGTCACAAGGGCGAACCTGTCAAGACGCTTGTATAACTTCTTTTTCTTTTTTTTTTTTTTTAAAAGCGACAGCAGAGGGCAATTTTTAATACTGATTTATTTTCAAGGCGACACAGCGTTCATAATGCACAACCTGCATGTTACAAATGTTGCGTTATCTATCAGACTATTACCGGAAAATTTCTGGGTGGTAACGAAAGCAGACCTTGATTCTTCCAGATAGAGCCTCGGTGTCACACATACACTTCCGCCACAGCGGTTCAATTACGTTTCCTCTTTAGGACTCATCAACCATACAGTCTAGATAGCTACACATTATACAGGCCCTATCCTTTCCCGACTTACCGACCCATCACAAAATTCCCGACTTTTTCCCGACCTCCCGACCTATCTCAAAATTTCCGACTCTTCCCCGATTTCCCGACCCCGTGGGGACCCTGTTCATAGGCAACACGTCATATCTGTTGCGAAAAACTGTTTGAAACTAGCATTTCTTTATAAATATTTACTGCAGACTTTTTTGGACCGATTGAACCATAATGAATACGAACAATCTTTGGTAGGCCTATATTCTATATAATATCCGAAATTTGCGGGAAAGGATGTGATTTCAGAGTGTTCGGAGAAATAGTGCCCAGCTTTATTTTCCCGAACGTTCGGAGTAATAGTGCCTAGTTTTATTTTCCCGAACGTTCGGAGAAATAAAGCCCAGTGTGTCCAAAGCACGTCTATCTCGGTTAAATACAATCAAATATTTCAAAAACTATTAATTTGCGACGGAAATGAAGTTGATATTCGTGTTCTGCGCATCAATATTTAGTAGAAAATAGACAACTGGTAGCTGAGTGTGAGACAGGAGGGAAAGTAAAAAAATACCATAATTTTTTAACTTTGTTTTGGTCAATTTGATCGTCCACACCGATAGACAGTATTCAGAAAGAGACAGAGAGAGAGAGAAGAGGGGAGGAGTAGATCTTGCGAGAACTTCCGGGCGGGTGAGAATAGCCACTTTCCATGGCGATACTGTTCCGCGTTCCACTGAAGTTGAAGTGAATCATGAGTCGCGTTCCGCAGGAAAGAGTGGCGATTCAGTTCCGTTCTCGAGCTCGTGACCCAGCCATATCGTAAAAATAGCCACTGTAATGTGCAAAATCAAATCTCATCATCATATATATATATTGTCATAATAATGATGAATCTGACATTATTACAATTACAAATATCACTGTAGACTATACTATTAGGACTCTGTAGGCATTGTATTACAGACTCTAATCAGTCGGCGCTGGTGTTCGGTGGAACTGGAAGAACTAAGATTGTCCTTCAAGAAAAGGAGACTAGTCTAGAAGCAAAAATAGTTACCTCAACTGCCTGTCATATTTATTGTTTTTGTCGAGCCCAGCGCTTTTTTGTTCGCTTGTTTGAGTCGCCATTGTTGTTATGAATGATACAGGAAGTGCAAGTTATTATCTGTTTCCGCTTTTACTTTTAAAAACAAGGGACGTAACCTAGTAAAAGCAAAAAGTTCCGCCTCTGTGGTCCCTGCTCATCTGCGCGCTCTCTCTCTCTCTCTCTCTCTCTCTCTCTCTCTCTCTCTCTCTCTCTCTTTCTCTCTCTCTCTTTCTCTCTCTCTCTGCCCTGCCTGTCTGTCTGTTGTCTATCTCTCTTTATCTGTACTCATATATAGCTCTAAATTCCTGCTTGTAGTTGAATGATGAAACGGATGTGATATGTACATT